GGGAGGGAGGGGGGGAAATGAGGAGCCGATATTAAGGGTTCAAGTAAAAGGCAAATGTTTTGAGACTGATGATGGCAACAAATGTACATATGTGTTTGACACAGTGGATGCATGTATGGATTGGGTTAAGAATTGTATGAGCCCCCAATAAAATGATTTAAAAACAAAACAAAACTTGGCACCCTTGTTGAAAATCACTTGACCTAGGATGTCTGGGTTTACTTCTAGATTTTAATTGGTTTTTATGTTTATATTTATACCAGTGCCACACAATTTTCTGTACTGTAGCATTATATCGTAACTTAAAGTTGGGAAGTGTGACTTCTCCAACTTTGTTCTTTTTCAAGATTATTTGGAGCCTTTTGCAATTCCATATGAATTTGAGAATGGGATTCTCCATATGTGCAAAAGCTATAATAATTTAGATCGGGATTTTCTTGAACTGGTAAATTGCTTTATGTAGTATTGGCATTTTAAGTATTAAGACTTCTAACCCATGTATGGATTTTCTGTAGCTGGAATCCAGGATAGGTTAATTTATAGAGCCAGCAATGGAGTAATAATTACATAGGGCATGGCAGGGGAAGATGGGGGAAATGAGGAGCTAACAATAAGTACCAGAGAAAATGTTCTGAAATTGATTGTGGTGATGATTGCACAACTCTTCTTAATATGATTGAACAATTAAATTGTGTGATATTTGAAGTAAATGCCAATAAAACTATTTTTTTTAGAAAGACTTCCATTCTTGAATAAGGGATGTCAACATATTTAGGGGTTCTTTAATTTTTTTCTGCATTGTTTTATAGTTTCCATTGTGCATGTATTTCATCACTTTTGTTAAATTTATTCCTATATAATTCATTCTTTCAGATGCTATTATAAATTGAATGAGTTTCTTAATGTCTTTTTGTAATTGTTCATTGTTGGTGTGTAGAAACAAAGCTGTTTTTCTCGGGTTGCTCTTGTAACTTGTTGACTCTCTTGCATGGTTTTATTAGCTTTAGTAGCCTGTGGAATCTTTGGGACTTTCAATATATAAGATCATATCATCTGTAAATAGAGATAATTTTACTTCTTTTCTAATTTGGATGTCTTTTCTTTCTTTTTTCTTGCCTAGTTACTCTGACTAGAAACCCTAGTAACATATTGAGTAACAGGTGAGAGCTGCTAGCCTTTTCTTGTTCCTGAACCTAAAAGGGAAGCTCTCCACCTTTTTCTATTGATTATGATGTTAGTGGTAGGTTTTTCATAGGTGCCCTATGGGATTTTCCTTGTATTCCTAGTTTTCTGAGTGTTTTTATCATAAAAGGTTTAATAAAAGATTTTGTTTAATACCTTTAGTGCATCAGTTGAGATTATTTGAAGTGGTTTTTGAGCTGTATTTGTAGAGGTAGTTTGGAACTTGGGTGGAAGATGAGTGCTTGGGACTTTTAGCCTCTCAACTGACTCTAACCAGTTCATCTCATTTTTAATATGTATGTTATATGTTGGGCTTCTGGGTAAAATTGTGTTTGAGGGAAAGAGTTCTGTAAAAAATCATTTAAAATTTATATCTAAAGGATTTTCAGTTATGGTACATTTATTTATCACCCTTCCCCTTCCCTTCTTGCTCCCCAAAAGGAAACAAACCTAAGCTTTTTGAAATAAAGGACATTTTATCTTACCACTTTATCTCAAATACCAGTTGATTGAATGCTGGATATAATAATAGAGTATGGAATAGCATATAATTTCTTCCTGTTTATTTTAGCTATCAAGTGGAAATCCTGTATATGAAAAATACTATAGACAGGTAAGATTTTTGTTTTTTTATTTTGTTATGAGCATAAAATGTACTGTTAAATCTTAATTATATACATACAGATTATCAGCCAGCAGGACAACTTCTGACAAGATTCTTGTTTCATATTCCTGTGCTTTTAGTCTCTTATTTTAGGCACTTAATGTTTTTGACAAGTTGTCAGAAAACTCAAGAAAAGATAATAAAGCTCAAACACTTAGTTATTGTAATTATTTATGTTAAAACTCCATGCAGCCTTTTATATATGTTGATATAAATATAAAAATTAATTTATATGCCAAATAGAAATGACTTCCTTTAAGATTTGTTGAATATAATCCTTTGAAAATTTAAACCATAGCTCTTGTGTACACGTGAAATGAATATGTATGACAGATTTTATGAATAGTTGAGTGAACCAATAAGATGTAAAAACTAATTCAAATGATAATATGAGTTGTAGAAATTTATATTCTCTACCAGATATAATTTATTCACATTGCTGTGGGCAAGATTCATGTACATTCCTATCAGTTTTATATAATTTAACCTTTACCCCTTGTTGTTAGATGCTCTCTTTGTCATTCTGACATCATGTACAACAGAAGGAAACTGTGTAGTCCACCTCTACCCTTGCAGAACACCGTGGTAAATAGAAAGTCAGTCAAAGGTGCATGCCATAGATTATATAACCCTATGAGTCTACATTGTCACAGTTCCAAGTACTGAATCATAGGAAAGGGTAGAACTGCCCCTGTGGTTTCCAAGTCTATGACTAGTACGGGGATAGAAAGCCCTGTTTTCCTCAGTGCGGCTGGTGATTTTTTCAACTGCTGACCTGGCAGTTAGCAGCCCACCACGTAACCACTACGCCACCAGGGCCACCTAGACTAGATTAGGCATTAGAGAACTGAAATTGACTAGTATTGGTCTTTTTGAATCAGATAATCCTATAGTCTGTACTGGGAATAAATTGAGGAAGAATAGAGTCACATTTATTATTACAGAAAACATTTCAACATCTCTTGAATTTTAAAGCATTGTCAGTGATAGAATAGTATCCAGACCAGCTAATAAGACTATTATTCAAATTTACGTGCCAAATCACTAATGTCAAAGAGGAGGAAATTGAGGTTTTTACCAGCTTCTACTGAAATTGGTTAAATAGGCAATCAAGATGCATTGAAAATTTCTGGTGATTGGATTCTCAAGTTGGAAATAAAGAAGGATCAACAGTTGGAAAGAAGGGTCTTGGTGATAGAAACAGTGCTGGAAATCACATGGTAGGATTCTGCAAGACTGTTTACATATTCATGTAAATACCTTTTATTCAACAATGTAAGTGGCAACTATACATGTGGAGCTTTCTGGGGGGAATGTATAGAAATCACATTGACTATATCAGTAGAAAGATGTTAGAGAAGCTAAAAAATAATGATGGAGAAGGCGAAGGGCTGACTGTAGAGCAACCCATATATTTGCTCATCCACAAGTTCAAATTGAAACCAAAGAAAATGAAAACAAATTTGTGAGAGCTAAAATACAGCCTTCAATATGTTCCATTTGAATTCAGAGACCATCTCAAGAAAAGATTATGCATCTCGAGCACAAATGACTGAAGACCGGATGAGGTGGGGATGACATCAAGGACTTCATACATGAAGAAAGCTTAAAATGCCATTAAAAAGAAGGGAAAGAAAGAAAAGACCAAAATGGATCTCAGAAGAGACTGAAACTTGCGCTTAAATGTAGACTAGCTAAAGTGAAAAGAAAAAAATGTAACTGAAGATTTCAAAGGGTATCTTAAGAAGACAGTAAATTATGATAATGATGATATGGACCAAGACCTGGAGTTAGAAAACCAAAAGGAAAGAACACACAGCTGTTTTCAAGCTGAAAGAACTGATGAAAAAATTCAAGGATTCTTTGGACAAAATATTGAATGATACAGGAAGCATCAAAAGAAGATGGAGAGAACATACAGAGTCACTGTACCAAAAAAGAATTGGTTGACAGTTAACCATTTCAGAAGGTAGCTTATTATCAAGAATGAAGGTATTGGTGAAAAACAAGACCCAAGGAATAACAGAATACCAGTTGAAATGTTTCAGGAAATGGATGGAGTGCTGAAGTTTCTCACTTATTGGTTCTGCTATGATACTTGAAGACAGCTACGTGGCTAAATGGAGAAAGACAGGTCCATTAATAGCAGTGGGCAGCGGAGCAAGAGGTGACGGTACAGCGCACATTGCAACTGATGCACTGGTAACAGCAAAGGCCACTGCAGAAGCAGCAGATACACCCCACCGTCGCAGCCCCTGCGCTGGTGCAGCCCCCCTTGCTCCCTCTGCGCTCCCTTTCTCCACTGGCACCATGGCTGCTGAGCTGGCCGAAGAGCAGATTGCTGAGTTCAAGGAGGCTTTCTCCTACAAAGGAACTTGGAACTGTCCTGAGGTCAGTGGGTCAGAACCCAGCAGACACTGAGATACAGGATATGAATTATAGGTGGACACCAATAGTAATGGCACCTTCGACTTCCCAGAGTTTTTGGCTGTGATGGCTAGAAAAATGAAAGACAGGCAAGTGAAGAAGAAACCCGTGAGTCATTCAGTCTTCACAAGGTTGACAGTAGTTATATCAGTGCTGCTGAGCTGCGCCACGTCCTGACAACCTTAGGAGAAAAGCTAACAGATGAAGAAGGATATAAAGTGATCAGAGATGCAGGCGTTGACTGTGACGGACAAGTGAACTATGAAGAATTCGTACATTAATGACTGCAAAATCAAGACCTACTTTCAGCTTCTTTATTACTCCCCCAACCCCCAGAAGAATCAAATAGAATGTTTTACTGACCTCGTGCAAAAAAAAGTTCATTTATTCATTGTTTCTGTATACAAAACTGAATGTCAAAAAGTACCTTCTGTATACACACACACACACACACACACACTTTTGCATGTATTGGTTGGTGGTCCTGTCTCCCTAAAGATCAAGCTACAGATCACTTTTACAATATCAATACTTGTACAAACCTTACTACTAAGAAAGCACTTAATAGATTCCTTCAAGATCCATTTACTAATGATTGATAACACTGTCTGCACAGCCAGTTTCCCATGCATGCAGCTTGACAATTGAGCAGTCAGGTCTTTGTATTAAAATTGAAAACTGAAAAAAAAAAAAAAAGAAAAATTATAAAACCTTTGTGGGTTCTAGTTCAATTGTTTAGCCTAAATTGTCGTAGCTGGTTTACCGAAAACAAACACATTTGAAATGGGTGTACCTCAGGATGACATGTGGAGGAGAGGGCGAAGGAAAGGATAACATCTTGAAATGTAGCCCCACTGCTTGGAGGGTCCTCGTAGACACCCCTATGCTCCAACCCATGGTGGTGGTGACACCTCCCTGGTGATTTGCCTGCCTGCTTGCCTGCCTGCCTGTGCTGGTTTAACGTTTGCATTGTGCTCAAGGGCCAGGCGGTCACTGTCCACACCAGTTTTTAAAAAGAAACCTTTACCAAGGGAGCATCTGAACTCTCTGTTAAAGGCAAAAACGAATAAATCTGAACAAAACCTTTCTGACCCATGACTTGGAGTTGACAGAGTAGGCTGTGGCTATGGACTTCAGCACAATCATCGTCATTGCTGTTCAATAAATTACTATTTGTGTGCATTCCAAGTTGTAAATACTAGTCTCTTTTCCCCCCACCCCACAATAAAAGACCAATAACTAAAAAAAAAAAAAAAGTTACAGTTGGAAACTAAGAGGGTCAGCCCTGCTCTATCCTATAGAATCATAGTTGCTGGCAGTGAGAGGTTTTGTTTGTTTTGTTTTTAACCTGGCCATGCTGCTGGTCATTCCAAAGAAAGGTGACCCCCAAAAATGTGGAAATTATTAAACAATATTATTAATGTAACATACAAGTAAAATTTTGATGAAGATAATTTAACAATGGTTATAGCAGTATATCAACAAGGAGCCGCTGGAAATTCAAGCTGTATTCAGAAGAGAACCTGGCAGAGAGACATGATCATTGCTGATGTCAGATGGATTTTGGCAGGAAGTCTGAAAATTGTCTGATGTCAGCTTAGAAGCCTTTACTCAAAGTCAATTTTTTAAAATGCTAATGATTCAGATTATTTGGAATAGTCCTTTCCATGCTGCTCTGACACGTTTTTTGACTGCATGATGAAAGGTTATAGCTAGTGCAGAGCCTGTAAGTCTGGAGTCAGAGTACACGAGACACTACTGTATATACTCGTGTATAAGCCGAGTTTTTTTTGGCACATTAAAAACTTAAAAATATATATTTTATTTACATCATTGTATCTATTGTAACATTTCAACATATAATCAATATAAAATTATCATTAAGACAGTTTGTATTTTTTGTACTCTTAAGAAATGAAGTGTGTGGGTCTTTTTTTAAAAATAATTTTATTTGGGGCTCGTACAACTCTTATCACAGTCCTTACATATATCCATTGTGCCAAGCACATTTGTACATCCATTGCCATCATCCTTAAAACATTTTCTTTCTACTTGAACCGTTGGTATCAGCTTCTCAGTTGTCCCCCCACTTCATGAATCCTTGATAATTTATAATTTATTATTATTTTGTCATGTTTTAACTGTCTGACGTCTCCCTTCACCCACTTTTCTGTTATCTGTCCCCCAGGGAGGGGGTTATATGTAGATCCTTGTAATCTGTTCCCCCTTTCTACCCACACCTTCCACTTTCCCTCCTGGTATGGCTACTCTCATTATTGGTCCTGAGGGGGTTATTTGTCCTGGATTCCCTGTGTTTCCAGCTCTTATCTGTACCAGTGTACATGTTCTGGTCTAGTCAGATTTGCAAGGTAGAATTGGGATCATGATGATGGGGGAGGGGTGGGGAAGCATTAAAGAACTAGAGGAAAGTTGTACGTTTCATCGTTGCTACACTGTACCCTGACTGGCTTGTCTCCTCCCCGTGACCCTTCTGTAAGGTGATGTCCAGTTGCCTACAGATGAGCTTAGCACATTTTTAATGCAGTTTTTGTAGTAAAATTAGGTCCCTTGGCTGATATTCAGGTCGGCTTATACTCTAGTATATACAGTACCTTAAGTGACAAAAATCCAAATCGCCATGTTTAATTTATTGCAGAAACCAAAAGAATGGAGGAAAGTAAAATTCTTTTATTGGGGTATAGAACATAAATATTCCACAAGAGTTTGATCCATGTTGTGCTTGCATGTCTTTTTATGTTATACTGGGATGGGGACTCCTTTTTCACCCTGGTCTTGGGGTAAGTGCACAAAATTGAGGAGTTCTGTAGAATTCTAGAGGTAAGTTTCCCAACCATGCTGCATTTTTTGCTGCTACCTCAAATTTGAAGGATTAGGGAAGTTTTTACTTTTGCTGTGTGCCTCATTTCTCCCGTGTTTTAGCACTTGAAGAAAAAAAAGGCTTCTCTTTTTTGCTTTTTTGCTGGGGTTGGCCTGTCTGGAATGCTTTGTTTATATTTATAGTAAACTTGTCTTAACCAGCACTGTTTTTTGATGCAACTTGTTTATTTTTATTGTTAAGAATATATGCAGCAAACACACACCACTTTAACCTTTTCTACATGTGGCGTTGATTGCATTCTTCAGTCTATGTAACAATTCTCACCCTTCTTTTCTGAGTTCTTTCTCACCATTAACAAAAACTCACTGTCTCTTAAGTCTCCTGTTTACTCTTTCCAGTTGCTGTTGTCACTTTGAGCCCAAATAGAAAGTTCTAAAAGAGCTTAATGTTCAAAGCAGACATTTTTTTGCTCATTAAGCTAGTTTTATCTGGTTTTAAGAAGACTTCAGGGTATGTTTTTGTTTAAGATTGAAAGATTATCTCAGGGTAGTAGTTTCAAGGGTTCTCCTAGTCTCCATGGCTCCAGAAAGCCTGGATAACCCAAGAATTTAAAGTTCTATTCTGTATCCTCTGTCCTTTGATCATAATTCAATTATAGAACCTTTGATCAAAATGTTCAGTAATGATAGCCGGACACCATCCAGTTCTGGTGACATAGCGAAGAAGGCAATCTAAGACCCATTTTTAAGATTAAAGCTCTTTTTGATTTTATTTCTATTGCTTATTTCTGGAGTATATAAAATTTCATTTATTTTTCTGTTCTTGGTGACCTCATTCTGTCTTAAAAAGAAAGTCCCTATCAGTGAAAATGATGTGTTTCCTTTAATATGCTTTAGAAACTGAGTTTTAAAAATATTCAAGTTTTAGAGTTGATACTGCTTTGCTTTATTTTAAAGTGCTACAACTCTAAGAGGAAGTATAAAAGCAGAGGTTAATTATTTGAAGATGTCTGAAGAGGCAGATAACATACAGTTCTCATTTGTCAAAAATTGTCACCAGGAAATGCTCTTCTCCCCCCAAATACCTCTTAAGTTTATTGGAATTTAAATGGCAAGAATAAAATATTTGGTGTCAGATAATGTGTAACTATTTCTACTTTACTAATTTGTTTTACTTATCTAAGCTCTAGTTTTCTCAGTTGTATAATCACATGATAAAACATACTTTGTAAATTACCAGTGCTGTCTAGCTCTTAACCTATTCTTAAATCTTCACATGTATTCCTTGACCTTTATTAGTCAGAGGATTCCCTTTTCTTGGAAAATCCAGTTCCCAAATTATAGGGAATGAAGCAAGTAAATAAAGATAATTTTTCCTTTGTGCTTGTTTTCAACCTATAGTTTCTGTCTTTTCAGGTTGACACGGGCAATACTGGAAGGGTGTTTGCTTCCGATGCTGCTGCTTTTCTGAAAAAATCAGGACTTCCAGATTTGATACTTGGAAAGGTAGAATTTGCTTATTATAACTAGATTATAGTGAATATTTAGCGTTTAAATGAACTGAATGGGAAGTCACAAAGATGCCATCAAGAAAACTAGAAGTTAGCAGTTTGCAGTTAGAGGGTGGAGGGAATTTGTGATGTATAGTGATTTATTCTCTTGAAAAATAAGTTATTTTCAGAATTTTTGGGAAACAAATTACTATTCAGTAGGATGAAATGAGGAAGTAGTGCACTTAAATATTACGAGGAGAAAGAGTGCTGACTGGTAACCTTGAAAGAGTGCTGACTGGTAACCTTGCCGCCCACTCAGAAAGAGTTGGCCCTACCCCTACTTCCTCTGTTATAACTGCCTTTAATTGTTTTCAGTGTGTGGTAAGCACAGTGGGGGTGAGCACCTGTGAAAAGAGCACATAGAGGTGGGAAGCCCCTCTTGGCTTGATCCTTACACATGATATTGATAGTGTTCAAAAATTTGGAAAATAATTACTAGTACTACTTAAATTATTCACAATTGAACATTTACCACTCAAACTTTCCCATAGGTCACAATATCATCTTGATAAAGATGTAAAATCAGGATAGTATTTTCTGGTAGAAAGAGCTTTGAACTCAAGATTAGAGCCTGGGCTTATAGAAAATGGCATTGCAATAGAAGTTAGAAGATGGATGTCACTTATTTGCTTGAAGCTTTGGATGTTGTTGAGTGATCATTTAACCTCATTGGGCCATGGTACTAAATAAACTTTAAATTATTTTTGTTAAAATATAGATTGATAATCTTTTTCATTGCTGTTCCAATTTCAGATTTGGGATTTAGCCGACACAGATGGCAAAGGTATCCTGAGCAAACAAGTAAGATTCTGAGATTCACACACAAAATTTTTGAGTGATTCAAAATAGAAAATAGTCACTTTTAGGGGGGAGGGGTATTTTTAATTTAAGAATGATATGTTTGTTTGTGCCAATTCTAGTGTTTTATGAGGGCAAGTGTTAGAACCAAATAAAGGTATTTCCAATCACCAGATATCAATGTAACTCCCCAAAGTTAGTGTTAGTCTGGTGACATTATTTTCCTGGGGTTTATTTTTTTCGGTCTTGCTTTTCAGAGAGGTTTTGCTCTTTGTATCTTATTAATTAGAATTCTTCTATGTACATGTTTATAAGTAAATGTTGATTTATTTAGTCCTTTGGACATGTCAGGAAAGACCAGTCTGTGGAGAAGGACATCGTGCTTAGTAAAGTAGAAGGCACTGCAAAAGAGGGAGGCTCTTGTTGAGATGGATTGACACACTGGTTGCAAGAGTGGGCTCAAACATAAAGAACAATTGTGAAGATGGCCCAGGATGGGGCTTGTTCTGTTGTTCATAGAGTCAGAACTGACGCAATGGCACCTAAAAACAATAGCAAGACGATACTGCCCAGTAAATTAGATAGGACGCTTCTGGCCAATCAGACCAGAGTATTGTGACCTACGTCTTATTCTGACATATAAACCACAAATTATTTGCAAGTCAGAAGTAAATCCTCGATCAAAATTACATGCAAGTGGCTATGGCTATAGGATTTCAGCACCTGATATGTACTTCAGAGTTCTTCAGAATGGACTCAAAGTTACTATATGCTGATGTACTGATCATTTAATGGCTTAAATTTAATCTTGCCCTAGAGAAATAGTGAAAGCCCAGATTAATCTTAAAAGCAAGATGGGAAAGATTGGATGAAATAGTCAGAATACTGATTCTTTTTTTTTTTTTTAATACTGATTCTTTTCATTGAGATTTTAGGGCCAGATTGTCCTCCCCATTGATACCCTGAGCAAAAAGGCCAGTTGGATACATGGAGACATAGGAAGATAAAATTCATGCAAGCACCCAGGCTGCTATGCATTCATTCAGCAATCTTTGTTGAATACGTATTGTTGAGTACCTGTTGTGAGCCAGGCTTTGGGAATTCCGAGGTGAACCTACACCTAACAGATGTTGCCTCTACACATGAGCTTGTGGTATAATAAAATCTCTGCGCTTATGTGCAGTGATGTTTCTGCACTTAGATTAGAGTTCGTTTGCCTTTGTTGCATCTAAGTGGCTGAATTAATGGGTTAAACTTAAATGCTTAAGCAGGAGGCACATAGATTTGTAATTAACATTTGAAAGAAAGAAAATAACCCAATCCTTATTGAATTTTTATGTATCAAAATAGCACTAAGTACTTTCCTTCTTTAGTTCTTACTGTGTTGCTCATAATTCATTGCAAGGTAGTAGTAGCCCACCTTTTACACAAGGGTTTTATGTAACTTGACCATGGCCTCCCAACTCTAAGCAGCAGAACTAGAATTTAACGAAAGACTGTTTCATGTCAGCCCATCTATACTGTGTGAATGGATCTGATTACCTAAGAACAATTGAATCTCACAGAGTGAGAGGAGAAGGAAGGTCAATGTTGAAATGCTTACAGTACCACCATTTAAAGACTAGAGGAGCATTGAATCCAACAGTGGGAAGCAGCAAGGTCAGCAGAAAACTCGGAGAGCTTTTGGAAGCTCTTTTGGTGGAAGAGAGTTTCAGGGTGAATGGTAGTGCCAGGAGAACAAGCAGGAAGAGGCTTTTTTGTTGTTTTCATGAGGTCAGTGTATGAGGGTAAGTCTAAAACTATTGCTATAAAAATATAGAAACCTTTATTAAATAAAGTTATCAATATATGAAGCTTTTTTCCCCCCTTGACATGTCCTTCATCTAGGGGTATACACTCTGAGGTGGCGTTTTCATATCTCCAATCCTTCCTCCAAAGGGTTCTAAATTATTTGATTTACACTATGTCAAAATAATAGTTCTGACATCCGCAAGGGACGCCAATCACATTCCTTTGGTTCTTTGATTTTTGAGGGGAAAAAAGTCAGAAGAGACAACACCAAGGCTGAGGGTTTAAGAGGTCAGGTTTCCTAATGGAAGTCTGTAGGACAGTCCATACTACCCTTAAAGAATGAACAGGTGTATTTGTTATGATAGGGAAAAAAATCTTAGTGTAACTTCTCCTTACCAGTGCAGTTCTGTTTTCTTAAAACTTCTTCCTAGTAATCCCTGTGTCTGTTAGCGAAAATTCTGTGTCTTTTGAGGGAAAAAAAATCGAGATTACCTCTTGGGAATCGCAAAAAACAATCGCTGGAACCTCTGAGCTGACTTCTCTGCTTTGAGTTTAAGTGACCCAGCAGATTCCCTTGGAAGCCACTGTTGTGATTGAACGTTGATTTTGAAGGCACCCTCATGAGGTTGAGACAAATGTATTGCTGAGATTGTCTGTAGCCATCCACGGATGTGTGAACTGGAACCCTCGTGGCAGTACTTTTTAGCATACCCCTGTATTTGGTAGATAAGAAGTTATTTGTAATACAGGCAGTTTTTCTAGCTAATAACAGAGGTTTAAGTCAGGTTGTACAGAGACTTGTGGAGTGAATATAAAGAGTGGGGAGATCTTGAAATAAGCATGTTTTTCTCAAAAAATTTGTTTGTGAAGGCATGAATTGTGGTAAGCAAACAGTGGGCAAGATGATAAGAATAGGTTAAAAATTGAGTAAAGAGGTATAAGTGAGAATAGAGGAGAATAGAGAAAAATAGCGAAGTATTGGTGGTGGTGGTTGTAGGGTATTGACAAATTTCTAGTGATAGTCATTGAAGTAAAGACTTTGATGTCATTTCTATTCCAAGATCTTAATTTACTGCAAAACAGTCTAAAGCCATTTGTTTCCTTGTCTCTGCGTTTATGTATGTATGTGGGAATTTAAAATGTTTGTGGAAAAATTTCATTATCTTTTAATTAAAGTCTCCCAGGAACAATTTGAAGCCCTCTTGTATGTTGGTTTTGGACTAAGACTTTAATGCCACAAATCTAAGGACCTTTCGGGGAGAGTTACAAATATTTTTAAATCAAGCAGTTATGTAAGTGTTTTAGATGCTGCACAAGTATCCTGTGTAGCTATTCTTGAATATTGAGTCAGTAAAATGACTGACCTAGTTTCAGAATTTATAATCTCACAATCCGGAGATGACTTTTGATAATGTTTACATATGATTTCCTTTTAGACTTTTTCAATTTTTTTCTCACTTCAATGTTTTTCTTCACGTTAAGTATTCTTATGAGCGTGATTATTAATTCTGTCTAGTATACACTTTATATCTATCACAATTTAAGTACATTCCCATTATATTGATATTTGTTGCTTTTATAATGTTAGGAGCATCTTTGCATGTAGCTCTTTCTTAATTTTAAAGCAAGCAAATGTATTATTATATTTATTGCTACATAAGAAATCTGTAATAATTGTGCATGGGTTTATATTTTCACACTGTAAGCATATGCATATGTGTATATGTACATATATACTTAATGTGTGCATCTATAATATATATATTATATGCATATATATTATACATACACACGAGGATACTTCAAAAAGTTTAGAAAAAGTTCATATTTTTTAATTCCATTTTCCTCTGAACTTTCTTTCTGAAGCCCTTTTGTGTGTGTGTGTGTGTATACTATACACATTGTGTGTGTGTGTGTGTGTGTGTATATACATATGTACATCCATACATGTTTATATTCTTAACATTTACACCTTTCCCCCTCAGGAATTCTTTGTTGCTTTGCGTCTGGTGGCATGTGCCCAAAATGGATTGGATGTTTCACTGAGTAGCTTGAACCTGGCCGTTCCTCCACCAAGATTTGTAAGATACACTTGTTTAAAAAAATTTTTTAAAGGATATATGATTTGACACTTAAAAATTTTATATCAAATTCTCTTGCTTTTCTTATTGCCTAACCTGCTTTCTTTCTCAATGGTTACCACTGTATATCCTTCCAAAGAGGATGGAATTTAAAGATGACAAAATTTTTAAACAAATTTTCGAAGCACCCTTGTATAACAAAATATAGATTTCCTCATTTTATATTACTTGTAGCATACTAGACACATAGTTCAATAACTTAAAAATTACTTACTATATTTTAGAGATCTTTAGATATCATTACATGAAAGCTTCCTCATTCCTTTTTATAACTACATATTATTTCTGTAAGGAACCCAGGTGGTGTAGTGGGTTACACAGTAGGCTGCTAACCACAAGTCTACAATTCTAAACCACCAGCCATGCCATGGAGAAAGATGAGGCTTTCTGCTCTTATAAAGATTTATAGCCTCAAAAACCCAGAGAGGCAACTCTCTTTGTCTTAAAGATTTTGTATGAGTCAGAATTGACTTGAAAGCACTTGAGTTTTGTTTGAGGATTTTTTGGTTTGTATTCAACCACACACACACACACACACACACACACACACCAGAGTTTCAAAAATATCATGGAAAATGGAATATAAAAAATTTGAAGCCCCCACATCTGTGTTCATGTGTATGTATGTATCCTTTTCATTGCAGTCAAGTTGATTACTACTCATAATGACCCTGTAAGACAGCAGCTCTCAACCTGTGGGTCACGACCCCTTTGGGGATCGAATGATCCTTTCTCAGGGGTCGCCCAATTCATAACAGTAGCAAAATTACAGTTATGAAGTAGCAACAAAAATAATTTTATGGTTGGGGGTCACCACAACATGAGGAACCGTATGACAGGGTCACGGCATTAGGAAGGTTGAGAACCACTGCTGCAGGACAAAGTAGAACTGCTCCCAGTTTCTGAGACTAAACTTGTACAGGAGCGGGCAGTCTCATTTTTATCCTGCAGAGCAGCTGGAGGCTTCAAACTACTGACTTTGCAGTTTAACAAGTAACACTAGGGCTCCTTTCATTCATGACACTGCTGGATGGGTTTGAACTGTCAACCTATAGGTCAGTGGAGCTTAAACCATTGGCTCAAACCACAAGGGACCTCTAGATGAAACTTTTATGCGATTATATGTGACAATCTCTGAAATACTTTGAATTATTTTTAAAAAGGCATTGAACTGTGTCTAGTTCAGTGGGCAATACCATCCCCAGAGGTCCCGGAATGATCTCGGTGGGCTGAAAAGCCCATTATCCTTTATCCTAGATTGTTGTACAAAAGTTTTTAATTGCCAGGGAGGCGCTGAGTAATTTTTTTTCTCAAAGGGCAGTAGGAGGGGACAAATAACAGAATTGTAGGTGAACGGATACATTGGATGGTGTAAGATATGGCAAAATAAATGAATGAATGAATGAATGGGTTCCTGGGGCTAAGGTGGGAGAGGGAGGGGACATGGGGGAGCTAATATCAAAGAGTTCAAGAAGAAAGAAAATGTTTGTTTTGAAACTGATGGTGGTAGCATTTGTATAATTATGCTTGATCTAATTGAATTATGGATTGTTAAAATATCTGTAAGAACTCCCAATAAAATGATTTTTTAAAAAGTTATAAGGTAAATTAGTGTCCTTTCGCTGTTGAGACCCAACATTTTTAATAAATATATTTTAATCAACCATTTTTCTTTTTTGCTTATTGATGTGAGAATTTCAGTCCTTTATGTGTTTTCCTTTATAGCATGATACCAGTAGTCCTTTGCTAATCAGTGCAGCTTCTGCAGAACTCCCATGGGCTGTAAAAGTAAGTAAACCTTGTCATTATTTTCTTCTCTCTCCTTGTCTTCCTGCCCACATGTATACTTTCCCTTACCTCTGAAGTATATTGCCATTAACCTTAGACTTTTGCGTAGGAGTATTCAAGTACAGTAGGGGAAATACTAGTACCAGGATTCTTTAGAAGTATCTTTCAGCTTTGTGAATCATTTTGTGACAGTTAGTTAGTCCAGTGTTACTATATTACAAAATAAAAATGATTATGTCATAATTTTGTATTAACTAAGTAATTTCATGAATATGTAGTTTACCTTACTGGTATTATTTTCTGCTTGAAGATCTGGTTAACTAGATACTCTCTTCATGCATAGCTGTTACAGCAAACAATTCTTTATGAAGTACTTGTGAGATGGGTACTTTATATTACAGTAATTTGGAGACAGTGCACTATTTCTAATTATTTTAAAGGTTGTAATTTTAAAATAATACTAGGATATAACAGATCAAATGACTCAATAAATGTGTCCATTTTTTTCTCAAAATCCTTATTTGGTTTGTGTGCCTGTGTATGCTACTGGACTAATTTAAAATGTAAATTAGTAGGGATTTGACTTTAACCAGGTAAATCATTAATGGTTGTTTTTGATGTTTTATAAGTAACTTTTTAGGATTTTAGGAGAAGTCTTGTTATTAACACAGAAAAGGAATTTTGCTCTGGGAAAAGTACGGTAATCTTGATGTTCATTCCCATGCCAATAATTGTGTTTTTCAATTTGTTTG